TGTGTGTGTGTGTGTTTGTGTCACCTGCCCAACGCCTACCCACCTAAACCGGGTCTACTTCTCCCTTTATTTCCTCCTCGCTTTCCACTGTCGGTTGTCTTCGAACACAACCGGAAAGATTGCTGGTATATGGTAGCCAGACAATGACTGTATCGGACCGGAAAGATGACTGTATACTTTTATGATCGGGGCGTGTCTTGTTTGAGGAAGTCCGTAGCTTCTTCTTCTCCTTCTTCTCCTCCTACTGTTAGAAACGGTAGCCAGACAATGACTGTATCGGACCGGAAAGATAGCTCGTATACGTTCTTTCTCACCTCTCATCTGGTTTTAATCACGCCTTCTTCTCCGTTCTTCTCCGTTCTTCTCCGTCCTTCTCCGTTATTCCGATACAATCTTCCTGACCTCGCATCTGGCTCTAATCACACGTTTTTCTCCGTTCTTCTTCGTTCTTCTCCGTTCTTCCGATCCTATCCAATTTTTATTTTATTTATTCTTTTTGGTTACAAAGGGCGATGGCCTCGAGAGAGATCATCATCGGACTCACCTGTCTCAGGTAAATTTAGTGGTGTACTGTTCATATGATTCTGTCTGGATTCCAACTAATGTCTCTCTATTAAGGGTTCATTGGTGTACCGTTCCGTTACATGGCCTGGGTTCACTCCATTTGTCCAATCCCTTTTGACGTACCCAAAAATATAAAAAATGCACTACTGGATAGCTCTCTGCAAGGATGTTGCTGCTGCTATTAAAAACAATGAAACAAAAAATATTAAATAAATAAATAAAAATCAAATGCACCACCCCAAATGATTTTTTAATGATTTTTAATGCAAACGGTGCTCGCTGCCAAATGAAGGCATACGCATATTAGGACCTTTTTCTAAAAAGGTCTGGGGACATGTTTGTCGTCAGTCAGATTCATCCAGCTCTGGCCGTAATTCCAGTCAGATGCATTTTGTGAAAACTCCTGGGGGGATCGATTGGACAAATGGAGTGAACCCAGCCCACGTGGCTAAAAAACGGTACACCCATGATGGTGGTCGCTGGCAAATGAGGTTGCATACTGCGGACATGATCGCAGTCAGATTCATCCAGATCTGGCCGTAATCACAGTCAGATGCATTTCGAAAAATGCTGCCGTCTTCACCCGAATATAAAGCCCGGTCATTATCGCTGCATCTGGACCGAAAGTTGCACCAAATACAGCTATAATGACCGGGCGTTCTGTTCGAGTGAAGACGGTAGTGTGAGTATGCCCTGACTGTGTGGTATGTGACTGACGGGAGTCGTCTTTATTAACGGGGTCACGAAAATATGATTTGCAGTCTATGGACTATTTTTAGATTCAGGAAAATATGATTTGGAGTCTATGGACTATTTTTAGATTTACACATGTTATCTTTTTGCAGGGGCTATGCTAACAGTCTGTGTGTCGTTCCGATCCAATCACGGATGTCCTGAGGGCCTCATTTGTGTTTATGGGGACGTTATTACTGCTATCCCCCCCTCCTCCTCCCCCTTCTCCTCCCCCCCCTCCTCGCCCCCCTTTTACGTATGCGACTGACATGTGGGGTTTTCTTTCATTCATATTTTCTTCGTATTTTTTGCTTTGCATTTTCCTTCCCTGCTCTTGCGCTGGTGTCGAGTGCGCAACGAACGAGTACATGCATGATGCATGCATTCATCAGACCAATGAGATATATAATATTATATATGGATTTCTTTCATTCATATTTTTGTCGTATTTTTTGCTTTGCATGGTGTCGAGTGCGCAACGAACACGTACATGCATGATGCATGCATTCGTCAGACCAATGAGATATATAAATATTATATATGTTTTTTTTTCTGTACGTATGTGACTGACTATCGTTTTATTTTTTCTTCGTATTTTTCTTCGGAACTTTTTCTTTGGTTTTTCTTCTTTGCTCTTCCGTCTACACGGGATGCACAACACACACATACGTGGATACATTCATCAGACCCATGGGAACACCTTCTGGCTATTGGGCTAGGAGGAACGTTCGGGTCGGCGGTTGTCAAATGGGAGCAGGGAATGGCTGAGCAGGTGGAGAAGACGCTAGCAGAAACCAAGGAGGCAAACAGAAAGAGGTTCTTAGGTATGTACGTGAGTGCAATCTTCGGGTTTTCCTAAATTAATTGTGCAATATTTTGGCTTTCTAAAATTAAAAATGTGCGACGTTTTGTTTTCTGTAAAATTGGCTTAATGTATTTTCTTAATCATTGTTAGACTTGTATTTATTGAGGCAGGACCTGGAGCGTGGTCCTACGAGCAGTATGGGTGGGATAGGGTAGAAAAGAGTTTGTGTGGCAGTAGAGCGGCCCAAATCCTGCTCTGCAATGAGTCGTGTGCTCTGCAATGAGTCGTGTGATCGAACGGTCAGTGTTTTACACATATGACCTGGAGAAAGAAGGGGACCGAAGTTCCCCTCCTCCTCTCCTTGAAACTGGGCATGCCCGTGTAAAGGAAGCTCCACTGCCAATATTTTTTTCTATCCGATGGGGGTTATGGCCGATCTGAAAAGAGGGTGGGATCAGCCATAGGCCCAGTGGAAGAAATATCGTGCTACTCGATTTGTGTGTCATCGTTTTGCAGGGGCTTTGCATGATCAACCGGCGAGTGATAGATCCATTAGGGGGGTGGGGAGAGAGAGAGAGAGAGAGAGAGAGAGAGAGAGAGAGAGAGAGAGAGAGAGAGAGAGAGAGAGAGAGAGAGAGAGAGAGAGAGAG